AGAAAGTTATTATCAATCAAGTTAGAAAGAATAGTTAATAATAACTTTAAAAAGTTGTTAAGACTTATAGAAATCTGATATTTAACTTTAAATTTTACAGAGCAAAATACTAATAAAGAGAATCCTATTGTGATATGAACTTTAATAAAATATTAATTAATTATATATTATTAGTCATTTCATATCATAATATGATTGAATAATTAATTACTTATATCTTATTAAATATTAGCTTTAGAAAATATTATTTATAGATATTTTTAGAAGATTTTGTAAATATAATAGTTATAGTAAAATTATTATAACAAAGTTAATAAAACTATTATAGCAAAACTAATAATAATATTATAACAAAATCAATATTATAATATCAGCTAAAGTGATATTTAGATCATAGCAAAACTAGTATAAGTATAATGACAAAAGTATTATTCATATAATCTCTAAAATATATAAAAATAATATATCTTAGCTAGTAAAATTAGATAGTTCAATTAATTAATTAGTTTAATTAGTTAGTTAATTAGTTTAGTTTGAGTTTTATAAGTTTAATTCTCAATTACATTTTAAATAAATTATAATTTAAAGAAAATTCTAAGAAATATCTCTTGTAGAATAAATCTTGATTAAGATTTATTATTTCATCTTGTTAATAAACTAATTATTATATCTGTCTTGAAATTATACTTTGAAATTGAATTATATTCTAATTAGTTATACTAAGAATATTATTATTATTTGTCTTTAGATAAATCTTAATAAATTTTAATATAATAGTATTTATATTCTTATAAATAAACTTTTAAAGACTCTCTTAATATTAGTATAAAGTACATGATCACTTTTATTATGTGCTTTTGATATATTAGGATTAGTACTTATTTTTCATATAAATATCATATCAAAAAAGTAATAATATATATATAGTATATATATTTATTTTATATATAATATTAATATAAGAAAATTAAGTTATTATATATACATATTTTATAAAAATGAAATTTATAATATCATTATTACATAAATTATCTGGAATTTGATTTACTTGACTTAAAGATAATATATTTTTATAGTAAATAAAATATATATATAATTATTTGGAATGTTAAATATAGTTATTAGAATATTGAATCTTACCATAAGTTCTCTTTTTTATTTTAATACTTTTTAGATATTTACTTTTTCTAGAATTAATAAATAAATAATTTCATTATTCAGATTTTAGATATTAGAACTTATTAATTATTAATTTAATAATATTCAGATTACATTACAAGAAGATTAGATCTAAATTTGTAATTCAAAAAATAATATTAAATTTTTTAAGAAAAAGATAATTATTTAAAAATTAATAATTATATATTATTACAAACTATATTTATAAAGATAAGTTTTATCAAAAATATAGTCTATAATAAGTTTTGAGAGCTAAGACTGAATTATTTATAAAGATAAAGAGAATTATAATTATTTTAAAGATTTTTTAGTATTAATATTTACAAGTATTATATTAATACAAAGTAAAAATAAAATAAAAACTAAAAAGATTATGATCATAAAACTAAACTAAAGGTAGATATCAAAATTAAATTAATAAATACTATAAATAAAAGATTTAGTATACTAACTAAATTCTCTAACAGTATCTTTTTAATTATTAAACAAATAAAGCTTTTATATATAAAAAAGCTTACAAGAATCTCTGTAAATTAAATAAAATATACTTGACTTATTTTAAGTAAAGAACATCCATTATCTATATTTTTTAGACAAGAAAAATATGTGATTAATTAGAATATAATCTATTATAATAAAAGAAATAATTGAAAGCAAAATATCAAAACAAAAATCAAAGAAAAATTACAAGATAAGTATAACTCAAATATTTTCAAAGATAATTGAATTATTACTATTTAAATATATTTATTTCATGTTTGAGAATAGAGATATTTATATATTTTTAAGATTTTACAAATCCTATCTAAACTCTACTCATAACTTATTTATTATTTTAGTATATAATTATAAGTTTTGAGATAAAAGATTAATAAATAAACAAATAAAATAAAAAGATAAAATATAAGTGATAAGCTAAAAGATAATACAAATAATAAAATGAAATGAAAAGATAAGATAGATATTTTAAAAAGAAAAGATAATAAATAAAATTTATTTCTGAATCATTTCTAAATTATTAATAAATCATTTGTAGACTGTTATTAATTTTTGAGCTAAATATTCATTTATAATTTTAAAATATTACTAAAGTATTGCAAAAATATTGCTGAATCATGACTGAATTCATAATTGATACACTAATTAAATTATTTAAAATCACATATTTTCTAAAAATTAACTGATTGACTAAAAATTTATAGTTTGAAAAATTATGAAATTAAAGAAATTTATGTTATTATGATAATAATATTTATAACTAAAAAATTTTTATATCAAAATAATCAAAGTAATGTAATAATTATTAATTGATTTATCAAAGAATAAAATACTCTTATTTTAGATTTGATAAGTCTTTGAATCAATAATTAAAAAAAGTTATTGTAATTACTTTTTTAAGATAATATTCAAAGAATTTATATCACCAAGTATTCCTAAAAATATCATCAATAAATCTTTGTTGAATATTTAATTGATAAATATAAAAATTCAATAAAAACTACATAATATTTCTCTAAAAAAGAGTATCTTCTTTAGATAAAAAATAAAATTTATTATGGAATCATAATCAAAAAGAATTAATAATATATTTATTCTATTAAAATTTTATAAAAAATAATTAGTTTAAAAATAATAATGATTTAAATATTATTTAAACTTCTTTATCTTTTATCTTTAATTCTTATACATATCTCTCAAAATATTACTGGAAATAATAAAAATAAAAGTATCATTTTGAAATCTAATATTTCAAAATCCAATAATCTAATTTAAATATTCTGAATTCATAAATTTAATAGAATAAATTGGATCATTAGATTTTGAGATATTGAATTTAATATAATTAATTATTGATAGATTAGACTAGAATTATAAAGTTAATAAGAGAGTTATATAAAATAAGATATAACTTCTGCTTAATAAAGTTAATATATATTAATTTAATATAATTTATCTAAAAATATATGTTATTTATATATAAAAATAAGAGAAAAATATAAGAGAAAAATATATTTGTAAAGATTTAAAACTGAGTGAATATGTAATATTAAATTATATGAAATAAAAATCTTATATTCAGAAGATTTATTCTTTGAATTAAAGATTAATATAAGAATATTTTATTTTTTTTAATTATTTTTTGTGCTTAATAATAAAAAAAATAGATAAGCTTATAGAATTTAGAAATAAGTTAATGAATAAAGAGAGAGAAAATTTGATAAGACTTAATTTTAGATATGAAAATATTAAGAAAAAAAGTAAAAGTAATATGAGATCACTAAGAAAGTATATAAAAGATATAGTAAAGAAATCTAATTGATTATTAAAAGTTTGTTTGAATAGTTAATTGAAAATATACTGTTAATACTATTAATACTTGACTAGAAGAGTAAGAACTATATAATAAAAATCTAATAAAAGATAAGAGTTAATAAAATAAGATAATTTTATATAATATTAAAGAAAAAAGAAAGTATATAGATTTAAAAAAGTAAAAATATTTTCATAAGTAATAATAATTTATAGAATTGATATTATAAATATAAATTATTAAGATATAAATAGATTTATATTATAAAAGAAAGCTCAAAATAGATAAGAAAAATATAATAATTTTGATCATAAAAGTTTGATTTGAAATATAACTAAAATTTTTTTTGTTTATAAATTTTTAGATATAATGTAATATATTCTAATTAAATAATAGTATGAAAGAAATTTTTTAATAGTTAAAGAATTTTGCTAGATAAGAATATTATAACTGATATAAAATATTTAATAAAATATCAAAACTTGAAATTAATCAGAATGAAAATTTATTGAAAATAAGATTATATTTAGTAATAGATATTTGATTTAACTTAATTATTATAAATAATTGTAAATATTTACTTTTTACAAGACTATTTATTAAATTATTATTAGAATTATTATACTTTGATTAGCTTATACTAATATCTTTTTTAGTAATATTATGTGCTGAAATTTTTAATATAGTTATTAATAGAATTTATGTTAAGAATTTTTGTTGTAAGTAATATTTTTCTTGAAGTCTTGTATAATAACTTGATTATTTGTGAAAATATTAATGTGATAATTAATAAGAGTGCATTCTGATACAGAGCAGCTGACAAAGATTTTAACTTTAGTTATGAATAATAATTCAGAGATTGAAAAGGATGCAGAGATTTGTGCAGACCAGATGTCTATGCAGTATCTGCTTTTACTTGATTTGTTCTGATCAGCAAAGTATATTCACAAGTTTGACCTCCTCTTTCAAATCCTGTTTCAAATTCACCTAAATCATCTTTGGAGAAATAATATCAAATTTAAGACATGTAAATAATCAACTTATACAAGAATACTATGTGTATAATTAAGTTAATCATCTTATCAAGACTTATTGGCTTGGGAAGCTCCTCTACCTTTTTTTAATACGCGTATATTTTTAGCGAGAATTAGATAATAAAAAGAAACAGACAATAAGATAATTTACTTTGGCACGTTCTTCCTTGTTAGTATCAAGGGCCCAGGAAAGGTACCAAGACTCTCGTCCTTGTTCTTTAGCTTCTCTCTCATACTTTTCCATAGATCTTTGATCCACCATTCCCGTTAAAAATCTTAATTATAGGATTTAAACATGTAAAATAAAATATTTAATATAGTTAAAGATGAAAATAAGGTAAGATTAATACTCACAACAAACAAATTACCACCCATCGTCGACCTTCCAGCACCTAAAAATAAATAAATTCCAGATGTATCATTTAAACATGCTTGCGGAGAAAGAACATACGAACCTACGTGACCAATGAACACATTTAAATGTTCTTTGGCATAAAGATCTTCAGCATCAACATGTTCGTCTTGTTCTGTGTTTCTGTTATTTGTGCAGTAGGGGTGGAAACAGTAGTGCTAGAAGACACGGTTTTCTTTCCCGTCTCTTTTTTAGCCACTGGTGCAGGATTTGGCGGCGTCGGAGTATTTTCCACAGGTATGTCAGCCAAGTTCTCTGATTCACTTTTCTTTACTACTGGCTCGGAGGGAGTAGGAAGCCAACTTGGAATAAACTCTTTAGCAAAGACATTATGCCCATATCCAATTTTTTTTTCTTCGATTCTTACGACCATCAACGAAAATTGAGTAAAACGACATTACAACACATAATACATGTACATCGGCCGAAACTACACTTGCTCAAATCAAAAATTTGCTTAAATGTTAATGCTACGGAATTTAAAC